GAGATTACAGGTAATATGAGTAAAGAGTACTCAGTGAATAGTGGTTATGTATACATGATGGATATTACCGCTGCTTGTGATAGAACTGAAACCAATTCGAACGGTTTCCAGTTGTAAATGTATGGTCCATGTTCGACGAGCTGTGTGCTAATGTAACTTTCATAACTGACAAACATTATCCGATTAACCTGAAATACACAGCAATCAACTGTAGCCTTCTTTTCCACCGATTTTATGGTAACTGTAGAAAACCCAAGAATGGGAAAGCAGGTCTAGGTATAGGTATATATAATCATGACAGTAATTTTTTTAGTTCAATAACAATATAAGCAATGTCAAAAGAAGGACTTTCAGTTATGGCCAATTGGCACGTGCTATAAAATGTGCTTCGCTGCACGACCACTCCATGGAAATCGCCTTTTGTTTGGACAATAGAAAAAATCGCCACGTCTTCACTAACCATCGCTGACGCCAATATAAGGGCCATTGCTGTAGATCGAAGTAGACATTTCTCAATCGTTTAAAATCTTCCCAATCAGGAAGGTCGTAGTGACCTAAGATAGTAGCGAATTGCGGGAAGCGCAATGGGTTAGAAATGCCGTGTAATGCCCACATGTTCGCTGGTTCAACCCAACGCCAAAGCAATCAAGACTTCCGTCCCTTCTGGGTTAGGGGTGCCTTGTAATAGACACGTGGTCTTTGGTTCAATCCCATGCACCGGAATCATCAAGCCTTTCGGCCCCGAAGTGGGCAAGTTGGCACCAGACTTATCTGAGAGCATAACAGCAATGATTCTATGTATCGGTAGGCTGTCCGAAGTCATTATGTAGTCCAAATGTGAACTCGTCGACGTCTGACGATGCTTAATGAGGTCAAATACATATCGCATTCCTCAGAGATTGATCAACGCCAAAGACTTTGTCTTTTTTATCCTTTATTTTATTGAAGGATGCACACCTCGCCACAATGCTTAGTAGATTTCTAGTTTGTTTAGTTTGAGCAGCCTCTGTTTTATTATGACGGAGTCCTAAGAAATACCCGTTCCTGTTTGCTATCATTTTGTCACCATAATGAACATTGCTGCCATACGACTAGGTTATGCCATCACTACAGCAGTATTCACTATGTTGCAATTGGTCTACCAGGGTTTCCTAATGACAACGTCGATCTCGTCAGCTTGGCCGGACTTCTACACCGTTGGAATTCCTGTGCAGTACTCAAGCAGCTTCACTCTATCCCTTAGACGCATAACAACCAACCAACATCTGTCAAAGTTTTCGACTTTTTCTCATAGTTTTAGTACTAAAATAGCCATTTATAGGTGATAGAAGTAAACTGGATCTTTTCTCTTTCGCAAAATTGTCCGAATCGTTAACGTCAAAATCTTTTGCGTTCCCATAAATACTTTTGCGCCACTTTTGAAAGTTAGTTAAGTATAATATCTAAACCCACTTAGGTTCAAGATAAAATAAAGAGGAAAATTATTTCCAACCTTCACCAGTGAATGACCATTTCCTCCAGCTGTGAAATCGAACTTTTTATAAGATGGTCTTGCACGTACTTCCAATTCTACAGAAGCCTTTCTAAAAACTAATAAAGCAAGTAACTTACAGCACTAACACTTTATTGCGATTTTCACGGAACTTTTCAACAAACGTCAACTCGATTCGGAATTCCTCAACCGTTCAATGAGAAAGTTCCAAGAATTCATATTGGGCTTTTTTGCGAGATTTTCACCAAGTACAGTGACATCCAGCACTTAAATTGGCCCTATGGAAGAAATTTAGCGGTTTATGAAGATGCGCGAATCATTGTTTTATTGCTAAGTGAGCGATCAATCCTTTTGGAATGAACTGCCTGTCAATTGCAAAGGTCGATCGATAGCTATGCTTTCCACATGGCGATCACTATTATTGACGCTGGCACTTCAAACGAAATAACCATCAACACCAAAAACTGTTCAGTTTTGATAATAAATCAAAAAAAAACAAGGCAAAAATAATATGGCCCATTTCAAAGTTACGAAGACCTTATACGAAGCTCCATATCTGTCAAGACTCGACAAAGTTGTCGGAACGTCAATTGACCGGTCACAGGTGTCTTCACAGATTTCTGAAATAAGCGGGAAAAATCGACGAATTTTACACATTTCGATCTAAAGTCCTTCGAGCTTTCCGACTTTCTGCCATTTTTCTCTCTTTCCTACTTTTCCACAGATATAGTTTTCGCACATCACAACGGTTTACCACCTCATCGTGGCTGGGAGGTGTTCCTAGGTGTCGGACTGCGGTGTACAGCGAGAGGATTCGTTCCCACGGGCAGCGTCTCCCAAGCTGACTTGTCCGGCTTTTCCATCAGAAGGCCCAGCTAAGAGTAAATCAACACCAGGATCCGTCACTGTTCTAATACTAAACTAGTTATACTGTGGTAAATCTCGCTCTGTTACACAAAGGCGGCGACTGCCTGTAGTGGTGACCATCTAGAGCAGACCTTGGTTGGATGACCTGGGGGCTAGGAAACCACAGTGGCTAAACCATCTCTCTTCGAAAAAATATAGATTATGCTGGGAGCCCGAACAACCAGTGAGGACGGGTATCCAAGTATCCAAGTAAGTAAGTAAGTATATTTTCCGTAATTGATCAATGATGCCATATTCCCTTATATTCCACTCTTAGACATCATTCTGAAGTATATCTAAGCTACTGTTTTGTTTATTGTTTGAGTGATAAACTTTCATACATCTTCAGCTATTGCGTGATAATCGTTTTTCCTAGTTCTCTTCCACTATATTAATAATCCCTCCCAACGGTTTACCGCCTCGTCGTGGCTGGGAGGTGTTCCTGCGTGTCGGACTGCGATGTACAGCAGGAGAATCGTCTCCCAAGCTGAGGAGTCCGGCGTTTCCATCAGGAAGCCTAGCTAAAAGTAAACCAATACCAGGATCCACCACCGTTCCGGTACCAAAGACGCGTGGTGGCAAATCTCACTCTGGCCCACAAGGGCTGCGGCTGCCTGTGGTGGTGAAGACCTGGGGCAGACTTTGGCCAGGCTGACCTCGGGATTCCAAGGAATCACAGTGGCTTAACCAGCAAATCCCCGAAAAATGGTGATAATGCTGGGGTCCGCACAACCAGTGAGGAGAGGCCGTTCAAGTATCATGTATCAAGTATGTTAATAATTTTAATGATGCTGAGATATTTGCAAAACCCCGGACTGCAGGTGTCTGCGGTGGGGAACGAACGCGTTATTGCCCTTTCCGGGGAGTAACACGTCCAATACCACACCATGCGGGTCCTTCGTTTCGCCTGTCTCCCAGCTAGTTCTATCGATTTCTGCCGTCAGCAATCACCCGTCAGCGGGATTGATCTGGGGAACCCAAATTGGCAATGAACCCAGCTAAACTGAGGCTTCAGTTATAATCACAATCTTAACCTTTTTATTTACTGCCTACTCTTTTTGATGGCAGGGTATATTGCTAAATATAACTTTAATGATGCTGAGATATTTTCGAAACTCCAGACCGCAGGTGTCTGCGGTGGGGAACGAACGCGCTATTGTCCTTTCCGGGGAGTAACGCGTCCACCACCACACCATGCGGGTTCTTCGTTTCGCCTGTCTCTCATCATCATTAAAGTTATATTTCGCAATATATCCTGCCATCAAAAAGAGTAGGCAGTAAATAAGACGGTTAAGATTGTGATTATATTAATAATCTCGTGTGTCCCCTTCATCAACAAGGCAAAAACCACATCAACGTCGAGCTAAGGAGAACGTAAACGGCATGAGAGATCGTTCCATGCTGATATAAAATTGTATTTGAAACGATTATTTATTTGCTTACCACTAAAGAAATACGTGGGTGGCACAGTGAGTTCTGAATTTCGTGCTCGAGTGGTTGATTGAGAACGGTGTATATTTCCTTCTCTTCTCTTCTCTCTTTTATAAAGATTCTGAACCACAGCACTACTAACGAATATTAAATTAAGAAATTACCTAAATTTAAACATTTGAACCAGAAAATGCCTTGCATTGAACTGCATTGAATTGAATTTGTATCGAAGTAAAGGGCACCGTGTAGCGCAATGATCGGAGGCGTTCTGCAATACACACGGGTTTCATCCCCGCGCCCCAGACCCTCTATCCCTCCAGGATCACCAAATTGGTACCGGACTTGTCTAGGAAGATGGCAGCACTGGCTACATCGGTAGGCCACCGCGAGTCGTTGTAAAGGCCAGATATGCATTCAGTCGCCTCCAGCGATGGCCAATGAAGTTGAATCAGAGATTGATCAATGTGGAGAGCCTTATCCTTTTTCACTGAATTTAAACGAATCAATTCTAATAAATTGAAATCTGATGGAGTTGATACGCATCGTGGAATTTGAGATTCGAACTGATGACCACTACAGCGCCATATTTCAGGGGCGCGCGAAGTGCAGTGGTCCACGGCACCGCTCAATACGTGCAAGGCGCTGGTCTGACGCCCATCGTCGAGAAATTGGCACCAGACTTCTTTGGGGTCAACTAGCGCCCTGCATTTACGAACTGGTCACTGCCTTTCATGAAGATCTACGAACCAGCTAACACGGTTATTCTAAGATTCGATAGAGAATCGACTTGACCAGCATTGAAAGATATCCAAAGAGAAGATCAAATCCACAAGCAGTGGCAGGATTTCCGGACGCATTTGTGGACGATGGATGTAAAGCAACGGATCAACTGCAAGAAATGCTGGGATACGCAGAATATGTGAAGGATACGGCAGGCCGAAACTCGGCAGTTTGCTGTTATCCGCACCAAAGAATTCTTGTCACTATTCACATTCTTCAGCACAAGTTTTCAAAGCGCTCGTCCAGTTTTTCAGGTCTTTCCAATCACAATAGGGCACAGATGATTTCTGCCGTTTTCTAGTAACAGTAATACTATGACTGTGTTATCGCTTTGAAGACCTCTTTGGCGATTCAGCAGTGGTTCAGCTCACAATGACTATATTAGCGTCATTTATAATTCTAGTAGATCTCCTGATGTTGTCTTGATGTCTAAAGTCGTTAGCGGTAACAAGAAAATTGTTCTAAATAGAGCACATTCGGGAATCATTTCGCTGTTTTCGTGTTCGTCAGAAGTGGACTGATTCGAGTCGATTGTCCACAGCGGTTCGTCCTGGCGATGTGTGTTCTCCGTTGTCGTATCGAGTTGAATTCGTTGGAGTGGAGCAGCAATCGAACGGAATTTCCTCACTCGAAACGTTAGCCTAATAAATATTTTTGAGCAACTTCAAGCTTAATAATCGAAGGAAGTTTTGATTACCTATGTTGAAGTTCAGTGAAAATTGGTTTAAGATACTTGTCAACGTACGTGCAGCAACATCTTAGTAAAAGAATAAGAAAGATAAAGCTTTCGGCATTGATCAATTCCTGAGGGAGGCTCCATGAATTCGACTTCATTAAGCATAGTTTGGAGATGATTGAATGCATATCTGGCCTTTACAATGACTCGTGGTGGCCTACCGATGAGCCAGTGCTACTATCCTCCCATACAAGTCTGGTACCAATTTACCGACCCCAGAGGGATGGAAGGCTTCGTGGGCCATGGATGGTAGGATCAATTCCACGTATGTGCTGCACGGTGCTTCCGACCACTGCGCTAGACGCGCTCGCCCGACGTCATATACAACTTATAAAACTGCGGTAAAATTCCGAGAGTTCTTTCGAGGCAATTTCTGAACTTACACTATTGGCCAAAAGAGTAGTGACGTCACACAGACCATCTCTGTATAGGTAATGAAGTAATCGAAATATATTTGATCAATATTTTCCTAAATCGAGTGAAATAAGAGGGAAAGTGCAAGTACACATGTAGAAGTACATACGCTACAAATGTTACACTTAAATGCACTGGTAAAACAAGATGACATAAAAGCAGAAGTGAAACCAGCCAATAATGATAAAATCTAAAATCAACACTGCGATTAACATATAATTGGGGGTACGCATTGGAATCAATGCATACGCCGCATGCATGGTGTGATGGACCATATAGGCATCGGATCACAAGTATAGACGCAGTCATGCTGTTAAACTGACCAACTAAAAACACCTGAATTGTCCATAATATCGAAGAAAAATGCAACTAAAAATGTGTAAGGATTGTGATTATGCCAGCACCTAGTGAGTTTCATAAACTTGTGCTAGAATTCTATAGCAGTTTAGGAACGGTTCTCGGACTACCGTATACAACTGCTATCACAAATGGAGACTACTAAATATGAAGTGAACTCAATTCGTTTCAAAATTCCTCTCCGATTTGCGCCCAGTCGAAAAGTACTTTCTCAAAATAAATCTCACACAATTCGAAATAAAAGAATCACGTCATGCAAGAACTTACACGTTGAGTGTAGAATTTTGGTAATAGAAACACCAATTTCATTTCTCTGTTGCAAAAATCGGAATGGCAGCAAAATTTATAGTAGATTCGATGTTTTGACTTGTAACTAAATGAACAACAATAGGATCGGTTCTTACGGTAAATTTTCAGTTATTTCACAATGGCATGCTTCTCCCACTAAAACTTTATGAACAGATGTAAACAGAATATTTAGACCCCGCTGACGGGTGATTGCTGTGGCAAAAAGATCGATAGAAATAGCTGAGAGACGTGCGAAACAAAGGACCCGCATGGTGTGGTGGTGAACGCGTTACTCCCCGGAAAGGACAATAGCGCGTTCGTTCCCCACCATAGACACCTGCGGTCCAGAGTTTTGCAAATATCTCAGCAACATTGTGGTTGTATTCCGCTTAGTAACCTGCCATGAAAATTATAGAAGGCAGAAAACAAAACGTTAAAACAGAATATTTAGATTCGATATGGAGCATATAGGGCGTGTGATGCGCAGTGGTCGGAGGCGCCCTGCAATGCACATGGAATCGATCCCTCCGCAAGGCCATCCAGTCCTCCATCCCTCCGGGGTCCCAAAATGGCTACCAGACTTGCCAGGGGGATAGCACACTGGCTCGATAAATCGGCAAGCCACCGCAAATCAGTGCAAAAGGCCAGACATGCATTCAAGCACCTCCAAACGATGCTCAATGAAGTCGAATGCATAGCGCATTCCTCAGGGATTGATCGACGCCGAGAGCTTTATCCTTATTTTTAACTATATTACAGATGGTCTAAAACATTTTTGGTCTATGCAATGACTTGCTGCGGCCCATCTGTGTATTAGATCAGTGCTTCTTGTCTTCTCACAAAAGTCTAGTAAGAAAATTCTCGGAACACAGAGGGTGTGGAAGCTCGATAAGTTGACAGCGTAGGATTGAACGAAGGAAAAAGTGAACAAGGACATGGTACCACCAATCACTGTGCAGGTCCTTGGTATTCATCAGAACAATAACAATGAGTAGGCATAAAATAAACATATAGATCAAGACAGTGAGGATCTTAATTAACGCCGGCGATGTCTTTTCTGACTAGTGAAGACATGGAGCTTGAGATGAAGGGAAGCGACTAAGCCAACGACTACGTCCAACTTCTTGCTATCTCAGTCACAGTTTAGCGGTATCGACATGGAAAGGATATAGAACATGAAATACGACGCGTACATTTGTAGATTGGGATAGCGAACTTTCGTATCGGTGCACACATCAACTGCCGATGACGGATACGTTCTTTGTTGTTGACATAAGTGAATGACTTTTTCGTCGACTTCATGAACGTCTTTCGGCTTCATGCCGTTCGTCATCGCTGCCAGTTTCCTAGACAAATAAACTAATTATTACCATTATTAAAGTGGAACAGAAGATAACTTGAAAGTTTAAATAAGTAGAAACAAAATAAGTGGGTCATAGACATCGAACGGGTGGTAGGGTCAACTGTATCCAATGCAGAGGTGCACGGCACTACGAACTGTGGGAAGTGTCACCAGTGTTTCGTAGGAGCATAGAACTTTAAGTACGAGTAACTGAAAGTAACTGAAAGTACGAGTCATACAAAGTTTCGGGTCGTCAAATTTCCTGTGTTGTATGGAAGCACATAATGTTGGCTATCAAGAATTTCAATAGACGTGACAACTCCAACAACATACGGATTTTGTATCCTTCCTGATACTTTCAAGGTAAACATCGAATAGAAGAATTTGATACTGCCATCAGGAATTTAAGCTAAGGATTAACCTATAAAGGGAAATTCCGCTGTTACAGGAAAAACTCTAGTCGAGGAGACTTTCTCCTATTCCATGAGAGGTAACGTTCGAACGCCCTGGAGACATAGCCATCTTAAAATTCTCCGGAAAAACCTGCTCATGACTCTAAATTCTCCTCACTACAAGTTCTCTAAGTCTCAAAGTGAATGTTCCCATGGTTGGTGCTGTGATTAATACTATGATATTCCCAATAACATGAATCGTTCTCACTGAATGATCGATTTCACTATGGTTTTCGGTTGGTTATTCTTCCGAACAACTTGCTGTTTCTTTAAAAACTTCCACTGAAGATTACTAAATAAGAAGTAGAGAGAGCCGGAACCGTAAAAATAGTCTTTGTTTGTTGAAATGGTCCAAACAGGACCACACTTTTTTCAAAAGTGCCTTTATTCTTGCTGTTTTAGCGAGTATATTTCCATTTATTCTCCGGTGGCATTCAGGAGAGAATCCTCGATCTCCCTTTCAATTTCACTGACTTTCTGAGAGGGCGGATGATGAACTTCCATTCTAAATCGCAACTCGACTTCTGGGAACAAACGAAGGCGGCTGAGCCAGTGTGATGGTAGTAATATCGCAGAGAAAGTGAAATCATCACAGTACAATCCAATAAAGAAAACTGAATGACGTTATTCATAAAGGATTCTTAGTCATCTGTCTCTCAAAAAACAACACCACTACTGAAACGACGTGTGTGTTTTTGTGTATGTGTATGTGTGTGTATGTGTGTGTATATGCGTGTATGTATGTGTATGCGTGAGTGTATGTGTATGTGTGTGTCTGTCTGTCTGTGTGTATGCGTGTCTGCGTTTCCGTGTGCCTGTGTGTCTGTGAGTCTGTGAGTCTGTGTCTGTCTGCCTATCTACTTGTCTACCTGTCTGCCTGTCTGTGTCCGCCGTCCGTCGGCCTCTGTCAGTCTGTCGCTGTCCGTCCGTCTGTCTATGTTCGTTCGTTTGTCTATGTTTGTTTGTTTGTTTGTTTGTCTGTCTATGTTGGCTTTCCTGTCTGTGTCTGTCTGTTGGGCTATATCTACCTATCCGTCTGTGTCTGTCTATCCAGCATTGTATGTGTACCCGGAAATGTCTGCCTGTCTGTCTATGCTGTCTGTTTCTCCGTTTGTCTCTCTCTCCGTCTGTTTACATTTGTATTTCCATACCTGTCACGAAGATAACTGACGCGTATGGCGCACACTCCAGCACAGTTGAACACCGACAATGCAGCGCTAGGATTTCCTTCGTCGCTCACGAAACACTTTACCGTTTTCCTACACGTCATCTGTAGATGCACAATAATGTCACATCATGTGTTGATTCTAATATCTCTGTTTCTTAATGAATGGTCAACCTAACGTTTCTTTGATATCGTCGTATATAAACGAGACATTCGTTGCGCGGAAAATCTCAGCAATATTTTTTTTTATAAAACCATTGTTTCAATGAGGGCGCGTGTAGAGCAGTAGTCGAAGGCCCCCTTCGATAAGCATGGGATCGATCCGCGCGCCCCCGGCTCACCAAGACTTCCATCTTTCCGGATTCGGCAAACTGCTACCGAACCTGTCTGGAGGAATAGCAGCACTGGCTCGATACATTGGTAGGCACTGAGAGTTTTGTGAAGGTCAGATACGCATAGAATCATCTCCGGAGATGCTTAATAAAGTCGAATCCCTCAGGGATTAATTAACGCAGAAAGCTTTATCCTTTACCGTTTATGTTTCCTTTGCTGCACACGCTCACGTGAAAATTTTATTTTTCTGATATTTGCTCTTAAAAGATAAGGGATAAAGAAAGTTATTGGCGCAGAAGTGAGAGGCGCCCAGCAATGGACGCATAGTTATTAGTTCGACCTCATGTCCTGATCAAACCGAGTCCCCATTCCTTTTGGGTTGGAATATTATTACTACACTTTATGGGAAGAAAAAACTATGACATAGGTCGGTAGGTTCTCCAAAATCATTGTATACACCAAATATGGGCTCATTTACTTTTACGATGCTACCAATGAGGTCCAATGCATGACGCTTCATTAAAGGGTTGTTCATCACCAAGTGCTTCACCTTTTAACTGTAGTAAATACGAATAAACAGAAAAAAATCTTACCGATGTGCACGTTTCCGTCGTGTTATCTGAAAATTAGGACTGATCTATTTGGTTTCATCACTATGAATAAGACAATCTCGTTCACCCTTTGTGTAAATGGACGTCGATAACTATTACTCACCTGACGGAGTAGGTTTCCTGAAACTCTCAGTGTCCTGAGTGAGATTGGTGGCGTTTTCTATAAGAAAAGTGGAATAAAAGGTGGTTTAACAATGAATCTCTGAGTTATTATCTCTCTATTAGTTATCGCCTATAACCGAGACCGGACAGCGCTACAACATACTGCACGGCTCAAAAAAATGGTTAGACCTCAAGGGACACAAAGAGATAGCCCACAGTAGCAAGCAAGACCAAAATCATAGGGATGCAGTATGCTTGCCATCTGCCAGAAGCTAGCTTATACATGAATTCGATTCTGAATTCCCACTTAGGAAAGGGGCTTGTTGAATCGGTATGCTACGATGTAAACGAAGGGGCCGTAACTGGCAAGAAATTGGAATCAGACATAAAATGGATCTTCCATAAAGTTTTGAAGAATGAAAGTGAATTTACTGTGTAGAATCTGTCAAGGCAACATAGTCACGATGCACATTACCAAACACTGCATAGACGATATCTGAAGTAGACTGATTTGAGTGGAACGTGTTTGGTGATGTAGCTGTTTCAGCGACAGGACCGGTTAACGTTGATGACGTCTCCATGTTATTTTCGTCCAGGGAGATAGATTGAATACAGACGATATTCTAAATTTGTTTTCTAACATCATAATTATATTAAGTTTGAGTACTGATCATTTTTGAAGAGATGCATACAGTTGAACTTCTGAAGGTCTTTATCGGACCCGTAGACTGAGGTAGTCAACGCTATTAACAAATCTCAGTCAGTGTCAACGGTCACAATAAAAGAACGTTCGTAAGAAACGTTAGCAAATAACAGTTATGTAACTGAGTAGAGTAGTGAACAAAGTTGGAACAAAGATCAAGTAAACACTCGGGCCTTGATGAATTGCTACAGAATGGTGTCGGTTTATAAGTCGAATGGATCAGTGCATTCTATACCTCGTGCGTTCTTGAGCTCTATGGTTGGTAACTAAAGAAGTGCACGTGTTTAGATGAATTCTTGATAGACGCTTTAAGAGTTTAACCACTAATTATTACCTTGGAATAGCCTAATCCATGGATGGGTGTCTGTATGGGATCTAATCATAAGGTAAAGAAGATTCAAAAGGGAATCATGAGATTGGTCGGTACAAGTAAGCGCTACGTCGAAAGGTAACAGGTGAGGAGATTCCAGTCGAAAACTATGAAAAGAATGCACTAAAATTATGAGCTAAAAAGATGTGAGAACTAAAGAACTTCGAAAGAACCACTATAACTATAACAGAACTGACAGCCACTATATTAACTGACATAATCCAAATTCATTCACGTTTACAGAATAGATCCTTGGTTGGACATAAGAGTGAGCTAACGCTAACACTACCCACAACTCTAAATGTATTACTTTTGAATCATGGATGTGTCTTGCGGATCGCAAGTTTGTTCGACACATCATCACCGGTATCGAGAACTATCATAAAAACGCAGAAGACCCAGTCTCTTTTTGTCTATTTCGGAATCAGTGCTATAGCAAGACACCGACGTCGAACGCTAATTGTTAGTGAAGCTCCAACATTGCTAAGGAAAGGTAGTGAAAAAATCATAAGGTAATAAAACTGAAAACGGCGTTGAAAACCGAGAAGGGTTACTGTGACACAACTTGAATTCGTCCGTTTTGTTTACATATGCATAAGTAAATTTTTACGTGTTTTTCTTTACAAGTGCACAACGGTTTACCGCCTCACCGTGGCTGGGAGGTGTTCCTGGCTGTCAGGCTGCGATATACAGCGAGGAAATTCATCACCTCAGCAAGGTCTCCCAAGCTGAGAAGGAGTTCAGCGTTTCCATCAGGAAGGCCAGCTAAGAGTAAACCAATACCAGGATCTGTTATCGTTCTGGTAGCAAACTAATTTCATGGTAGCAAATCTCCTCCTCATACACAAGGGTGGCGACTGCCTGTGGTGCTGACGACCTAAGGCAGACTTTAGCATGATGGCTAAACGAGCAAAACTCCGACAAAATGGAGATTGTTCTGGGGCCAGCACAATCAGTGAGGACGGGTCATCCAAGTGTCAAAGTAATTCAGGGTATATCCATTATCATCAATCTGAACGAGGGGATAGATAGAATGGAAACATAGTGCCACATGGATTCTAGAAGTGCATTTAGAAAATGCTAAGGAGGCAGAGCGCACATAGGCTTTAGAATCTATGATTCTTCCTCCTTCAGCTTCATCCTCAGTAACCTGAGTAACAAGTACTGCTTATAATCAGTACGGCATCGATGAAATCATGGTTGGAGTTAACCGCTTCATAGCGGTGAATGAGAGTGAAAGATTTTGCAGTACCGACCTACTGTAGTAAAACAATCTATCTCCCGGACAAGCCAATACGTGAGGTATCCAAAGAAGCTAACGATTTCCTCTGGTGTTATTCAGCACCAATGTTTATAGAGAAGAAAATTTCTTTGGATTTGCTCACCTTAAGAATGAAGATCATCTCTACACAGCTAAATATATGCATCCACCATCGGTGAAGTTGCATGCGGAAATAGACCTCACTACTACTATGGCTGTTATGGTATCTCCTATCGCATTCAAGGTAGCTATCAACCGTATACGCACCATTTCCATTCTGCTTTAAGTTGGTCAGTCTGGCCACTTCGTGCTGTACTTACGGAGAAATAGACTCATCTTCAACGAGATCTCGTAGTCGTACATCATCATATTAGCTAGTCAAATCTTTGTTTTCCTGACATTCCTAGTTGAAAATTCTCTTTTAGGGCTAAACAGGCAAAGTTGCTTTCAGTTTCCGAGGGAAATGGACTCGACCAACATTCAACGGGATTACTAAAGAAGGTTAGACCCTCCAAGTAGCAGCCGAAGTCACACAAAATCCGAAGACCCTCGCGGGATATGGATGTGTCGAGACGAGTCGGTTGGAAAATGTGCTAGGATCTGAATGATAAGTGATGTTTGATCGTGTGAAAAATATGCTTCATTGGCAAGCCTACTAGAACCACCGCCTGGATGCACTAAGGTGATAAACCATTGCAGTGGTACATGAGCATTCACGTTTTCCAACGGCTAGCCCCAACCATAACAAGTCAAAACTAAAGCCATTTCATAACTGATAACATATTGATTTAACAGTGTACAAAGATGTGTATATCTGCACGATGTGCGCAATGATGTATGTCCGGAGGAAAAACAAATTGCTATCACCAGACATTATCACTATATCGACCATCACCATCGTGTATAAAAGGGCATCACTGAGTGAGGATGCCTCATTCGAGGAGATGGCTGGCTGAGGAAGACCTAACTCGACACGAAGGCGAAGGTGCCACATCGAGACGAATAACAAGCGAGGACCATCGACTCGGATCATTGGCTCTGAGGAAGACGAAGACGTCGAAACGTTAGCCGAAAATAAATATCATTATCAACCTCGTGTAAGCTCAACAAAGAAAGTATATAAAGAGCTAGGCTGTCAATGTGTTCAATGAAACGATCGATACCGTAGATTATCCACTGTTCTACTCAAGATTATTGAATTATCAATTTTAGCCCAAAAATCTCTGACTTTTATCGTGGCTTGTGAATCCCATTCGACACATCCATAATCCACGAAGATCTTCGAACTTTCGCATAGGGGGTTCGGCTGCTGCTCCATGACTGTTGGTTTCTTTGTGAATGCCAATGCATTGCGATGGAGTAGATTCCCCTTGGAGTTTTAAAATATCTGGACTAAAGTGCTCCCAACTGGACTGCACAGAGTCCACCATTTCCAGATTAGTCTTGTACTAATTTCCCGCCCACGGATTGATGTGAACCTTGATGAGCTCTGCGCAGGGTTGAGCCAGCACCGTGTTTGTGATTAACAGCATCACTACCGTTGTGTTACCAGCTTAGATAGAACGTAACCATAAAACGCAATATATACAAGCTTAGGTTTCAACGTATGCTCTGTAATCACAAAGTAGAACTGCGAAAGAAGCATGTCACTCAGCAATACTTGTTTCAGTCGTCGATAAATACACATGGTCTGCATTGTAACCACCTGTTCTCAATTTCGTCTTTCGGTTGGGAAACAATCCATTTCCCGTTGATGGTGTTCACATAGTTTCGTATTCAGTTATTAAGTATCATCTCGTTTACTACTTTATATTTCTGTAGTTACACAGTTACATTCACGATCTGAATGAGAATTTTGTTTAAACTGGCGTTTTGATTTCGGCAGTAAGTGGGAAGCAGCTTATTCTCTAACCTTATTCTAAAAATATCTAAAGGAAAGGCTCAAATATCCTTCGTCTTAGTTTCATTTAAAAAAAAATAGCCAAAATCACAAATTCAAAGGTCCAGGAGTCAAAACAGGCCGTGGGGTCACCAGTTTGATTGAGGTATTTATGTAATATTTCCCTTTATAATGATTTACTTCTGAGTTTTTGTGTGGATTTCTATACATATCATGGTGGAAATCAGTTTTGAATTACCTGATACCTTCATACGGTAATGCGGGAACTGAACCATGAACGACGAGAGTGAGCAGATTGGTTAATACTCCATTCGGTTCTGTTGTTTAGAAGTTTTCTTTTGAACAGCTGTCTGTTTAAACAAAAACTGACTCGAAGTCAGAATCAGTCAATCATCGCTTGAATCAACGTCATGTTTATTCAGGCGGCAACATGGAGCCTAGCTCGGTTAACAAGCAAGTACCCAGACTTAAGCAAGTGATAAGTATGTTTTCCATACATTAATGAAGTCCTTAAAGCATTTGCATACCATAATAATCCAATACATTTTATCCTAAGTACTGTTCATGTACAAAGCACGCGTGTGGCGCAGTGGTCGGAGGCGTCTTGCGACAAACACATTTGGTACCAGACTTGCCTGGGAGAATAGCAGCACTGGCTCGATACATCGATAGGCCACCGCGAGTCATTGTAAAGGCCAGATATACATTCAATCACCTCCAACGATGCTTAATGAAGTCCAGTGAATGGCGCATCCCTCAGGGATTGATCATCGCCGAGAGCTTTGTCTTTTTTTACTGTTCATGTGAGGAGCACGTGTAGCGCAGTGGTCAGAGACGCTGTGCAATACACAGGGGATCGATGCCAGCGCCCCAGGCACGCCAAAGAATTTCATTCCTCCGAAGTGGGCAAATTGGTACCAGACATGTCTGGGAGGATAGCAGCACTGACTCGATACATCGATAGGCCACCGCGAGTCATTGTAAAGGCCAGATATACATTCAATCACCTCCAACGATGCTTAATGAAGTCCAGTGCATGGTGCATCCCTCAGCGATTGATCAACGCAGAGAGCTTATATCGTTTTTTTATTCTTTTTGTTCATGTAACTGTTGTATCTGTGTTTAACATTTTATCAACTGCGTATTATTTTTCACGGCAGGGTGTTATGTGAGATACAACCGCAATGATGCTGAGTTATTTGCGAAACTGGGGCCATAGACCAGATTCGAACTCGAGACTACACTTTAGGGACTTACGGATTATCCACTGCACTATTGAGGCCCTAATACCTGTTATATCCGTGTTGCTTAGCGACGTTGTTTTGGTAAAGTTCAGAATAACTCTGGGTTAGAAGTGAATCGATTAGCGTTTGAGCACCTCTTTGGAGAGGAAATATTTTTCAGTGTATCTGAGGACATCAAGTAGTTTTAATGTAAGACCTTCACACGTGCTTCACACCTTCACACCTTCACATAAGCATGTGCTCGAATCTTCTCGTTCTCATCTCGAATTTCTATCTTGTTTCCCCACATCCCTTAGAATCCCTAGAAACTTTGGGTAATGTTGCTCACAAGTGGAGGTTTATCCTCAGAGGTAGTCTAGTGTACTCAGTCATTCTTCGACCATTTACATATTCTTTTCTCTTAGTTTTCTTCTTCGACTTTTTATGGTTTTTCTTCTCATCTTCCAAGGTTCTTATTGTTTTTGTTCCAGATAGAAATGAGTCTGATGAAGAAATGCTGTAATTGCCGTTCAGATTTGCCGGAATCTAATGGCGCAGGGTATGTGGAGCAAATTGAGTTTGTAGTTTCATCTTAGCTTTCGGTTAAACTCTGATCGGATCCGGAACGACTTACCAGTCATTCCATGGTCATTCGTCTTTTACAACGTTTTATTGGGAAGAAAGGATGTATCAGCTTTGGTACAGCTCTCATTTTAGAAGCTCTTCTGTGCAATGTGAAAAATGTCAGAAGAATGAAGCAAAGTATGGGAAGGTAAGTATCTTGTCTAGTCTGTATAACAACTGTTTAATGTCCTACAGTCTCATCTCCAGGCTGTATGGTTTGTAACTTATACATTCTTCCTCGTTTACAGTTTTTCTTATTTCTCGTTTAGAAGTTACAAAGAAGATTAACGTTAAGAAAATCTCAGTTAAGTTTTTGGGAGGTGGTGTAAATATACTTACGCCTTGTCCTCATTGAACTGAACCACGTTATGTACACTATGCATTTCTCTCATATCCATTTAATGCGGCATTAATGCGAACTTTGCTGAATATCAGAAATGCTTTCTTTTTCCAAAGAAAGAAAGATTTCCTGAGTTTTTCCAATATCAAGAATTTTGTTTCTATTGTTGAAATAAAATTCTTCTTCATAGTTTATTTCTTAAAATTACCTTTCGTCACTGTATCATGTAGGGGCGCCTGTAGCGCAGTAGTTGGAGGCGCCCTACAATACACATGGGATCGATCCCCGTTCTCAAAGCTCATCAAGCCTTCCATCCCTCCGGGGTAGGCAAATTAGTACCAAACTTGTCTGGAAGGATAGTAGCACTAACTCGATAAATCGGTAAGCCACCGCGAGTCATTATGAAGGACAGATATGTATTAAGTTACCTCCAAGAATGTTTAATGAAGACGAATGCATGGCGCGTCCCTCAGGGATTGATCAATGCCGAGAGCTTTATCCTATTTCTATTTTACTGTGCCTTCTAGCAGTTTTTCACGTTGTTCCTCGTAAGACCGGCTCAGCATATTGATCACAACAACGGCACATGTGCCTATATTGCCCCAGTGGGTTTTTCCTTAGTTGGAAGGTGGTACTATAACTATTTTGCAAAATTGCTACTTAGGCGTTACACCTCTAAACAATTTAGTTTTCAGCCAACGACATGCAAATTCTGTCAACTTCCTGCCGCTTTTCATGAAGAAAAATGCGTTTATTGTTCCCATTCGGAGCGAAAATTTGGTGCTCCAGTACCCTGTGCGAACTGTAAACTGCGTGCCGCTTTCACAAAAGATCCAAAAAAGGTTAGTTTTTTCGATTTATCTTGCTTCCATTTCTGCATTGCTTTGATATCGAAGGGTTATTGTGCTTTCTTTAGAGCTACTTTTGATGTTAGGTTCTAAGGCATTACTCAGCTTTCTCTGAAACCTATCGGAGAAGTTCTGGAGACATCACCACGTCACACGATGTTGTACCTTCTGTCATATTTAGTTGAAACCAACACTATGTAGAATGTGTGTGATTCAAGCACGTGCAAATAAGCAGACAAACCTTGCTGGTGTTGCAATCTCATCCCATGATCACTACTCCGGTCACAAGCGAAGGCGGGAAGAAAAGAAAAAGGTGAGGCTCTTTTTTTTCACAGAAATAAATTCATGAGAGGAAATGTGGCTGAAACTTTAAGAATAATGTGAGGAGTACTCTTACTGTACGATGAGTTGTCACCTCAGCTCATCGTCGTTCGGTCATAGGAAATGTAGTGGCCTTTTCGCGACTCATTAGGAAATAGCTGACTTTTTTTATTGTTAACATCAGATGCCAGGTTTTTGCATTCTTGAAGTTTAGTACCCTATGTTCGATTACCTTAAAACTTCGCGATATCTTTATGTTTTTTGTTCACATTTATATTTTATTTATTCATTTTTATTATAAATATCTCAGCAACATTGTGGTTGTATTTCGCTTAGTAACCTGCCATGAAAATTATAGAAGGCAGAAAACAAAACGTTAAAACATTGTGATTTCAACTACAGCCATAGCTTAACTGGGTTCTATGCCGATTTGCGCTCCCCAGATCAACCCCGCTGACGGGTGATTGCTGTGGCAAAAAAGATCGATAGAAATAGCTGAGAGACGTGCGAAACAAAGGACCCGCATGGTGTGGTGGTGAACGCGTTACTCCCCGGAAAGGATAATAGCGCGTTCGTTCCCCACCATAGACACCTGCGGTCCAGAGTTTTGCAAATATCTCAGCAACATTGTGGTTGTATTCATTTTTATTTATTTATCATTTACTTATACATTTACAAATGGTTTAATAAGCAGTAATGCTTTTGCTGCTTGTAAACAGTTGGTTTTCGTCGATCTTTTTCCACTAGTTCAATTTTTCTCCTAATCCAGCGCAAAAGGTTAAGAAGTGGAATGCGGCTTGAGATGACACAGCTTCTGATTTAGACTAGCAGGGATGGTTCCAACACTTTCGGGTTCCATGATAGTCACTCGAAGACAAATAGTGGATTGAAAACCTAAAGTGGTTCATAGCAACTTGAAGAAACTAGTCATCTCATCGTTTTCTTGAAGCTATTGTAGAGATATCTCCAGGGATGGGATATCTCCATAGTCTTTTGTCCTCGAACGAATTACCCATTTTCTTGAGAAAGGTCATGACGTACAACTAACAGGTGTGGGATGAGCTCACGAATAGGTCATAGTTTACATTGCCAATATGCTCGTTAAGAAGGACGCCGATCAGTTCGTTGGTCTGAACATATGGGATTGAAACGAGGTTCAAAAAGATGAATTTTTTTCACTATCTTAAAAATGAACTATTCGATGGCTGTCAGCTGAGTCTCAGAAGAACTTTCTCAGAAGAAGAAGATGTCAACATTATTATTACTTTATTTTTTGTATTTCTAGTTTAGTGTGTAAGGGTGTTTCATCGCTCATGTTTCGTGGATCCTCAATCAAGAGCAGGGGAAGAGAATTGTTTTGGAATTCCGTCACATTTCCCACATTCTTCAAACCTTTCCTCAACTAAACTTTGCTGTTTCAAATATTACTATCACTTTGGTTTTTCGAAAAGACGTAAGATTAGGATATACAAGTTCGTGTAAAATCGCTAAAAGTATACTTATTATAATGGTATTTTAAATGAAAATATTAATCTTAACCATTTTATTTACTGCCTATTCTTTTTAACGGCAGGGTATTTTGCGAAATATAACTAATATAATGCTGAGATAATTGCGAAACTCCGGACCGCAGGTGTCTGCTAGCTAGCTAGAACTAGCTGAGACACAGGCAAAACGAAGGACCCGCACGGTGTAGTGGTGAACGCGTTACTCCCCGGAAAGGATAATAGCGCGTTCGTTCCTCACCGCAAGCACCTGCGGTCTGGAGTTTTGCAAATATCTCAGCATTATAATAGTTATATTTCTCAAGTACCCTGCCGTTTGAAAGAATAGGCAGTAAATAAAAATGTTAAGATAATGAATGTATTATGTTTGGTTCACAACTTCATCTACGAGTACTGAGTAGCACTCATAGTCGTTTTTACTTCTTAAGGTTGACAAACAGACTGAGCCAGCAAAAGTACCGAAACGAGATCCGTTCGCTGATTCGGGTGAAAATGTTTTGCTTGTTCAACAACTTCGAGATCAAATCTCAAAACTAAATTCAGTCGTCGCTCAAAAAGATGCCGCTATGTTAGAGAAAGACAAAAAGGTGAGTTGGTTTAAAAGGGTTCAAATCGTCTCTATCTTTTTATTATTTTCTTGGTCACATCCTCAGATAGCGGCCTTACAAGCGGATCTGATGAGCGCCGAAAGAAAACATCGAGAAAAGGTCGACCAACTACTAAGAGAAAAGGATGAGGCCATTCAAAAAGTTATTGAGAGGCATCGACAAGCTTCTAAGCAGGTATTATCTGCTGTCTGTTTCCGGTTTCTGTTTCGACTCTTTTTTAACGTATTGTTTCATTACTACTATTCTATTCTATTTTATTAATAAAACAAAACGTGGATAGAATTTCCAGGTGAAGAAGTAAGTGGGTGCCAATTTGGTCGTTTTCATGGATGTTCATGGTACAGGTATACAGACTTACCCTTGTGAATAGCTCACTGCATGACTTTCAAGACGTTCTCTTTGTGATTGTTTGCGCCCTACATCGTTTCCTGTTGCTGGACTGTTCCAGCATTGTAACCAAGTTACATTTCAAGCTTGCTCCTTATATTTCGTAACTGTCCACACATGACAATATGGTGAAACGCAGTCTAGGTCATAGTTTTCCCCTTGATGGTGTGTTTTACAAAAATCTCATTCGAATTTTGGAATCCGTACATAGTAGCTGTATATAATTACTTCTTGCTATCAGTATGTTCATTATCTTGATTACGAATAAATGTGAGAGTCCTGTGGTATGTAGTATACTAAAGTGTAACGGTTCCACATTTCTAATCTCCTACAGTTCTCTGTTATGTCGAATTCTTCAGGAGAACATCACTTGTGGCACATGGTTAGTGTTATTCACCTTTTCCAAGTATGTCCAGATCTTTAGGAAAATGATTGAAACCGAACAGTAATTGACTATATGTTCCACTTTTGTCGGCTATACTGTCTTATCAGGCCCTCACAAAAAGGAAACCGTTGTGGATGCTGTCGAAATCTCGTCAGTTTTCGTGTCCATTTAACTCATAACGGCCGATGTGGATACTGTAGTACTCATCTGCGTTTGGACCAGGAGACATGTACACTATAGTGTTCATTCTCAGTTTAGTACGTTGCAGAATTTTTTTGCCGCACTATATATATTCATTCGATAGCTAATCGAAAGAAGATAAAATTGGTAAGGGTGAGACCAATGGAAGCATTCTGTACACTTAATAATTTAGAAAGCCCTGATAACGAAGTCGTCGAAACGTTAGCCGAATAAATATTTAGTGAAAATTCCGTGTTTAGTTTATCAATGGAATAAGGTGCATTGATCATTAATAAAAAGATAAGACTCTCAGCGTTGATCAATCTTCGACTAATCATACATAGTCAAAAGTGCTGGTGAACATACCACCTGTATCACTTGTAGTCCCGTTTACGGTCGAGTGACTCGAGAGTGCGCCAGTAAATTTTCCGCTTCTCCCTGTCACGTGCAAGAGCAGCCCAGTGAGTTTCGATCGCTCTAGAGACTACTTGAGCATCATATCTTACTTCCAAGGTTTTCGTGAAGAACTCTGACCAACGGACCGGTGGTCTTCCTGTACGACGTTGGACATCCCGAGGAATGCAGTTGCTTGCGGCTCTGGTCTATCGGTTTCGTTCATACGCATTAAATGTCCGGCCTTCCTTAACCTAGACAATTTGGCATATGGAGCGGCGTGTTTGAATTTAAATCGGTAACGTACGTCGGAACTTTAGATCCCTTCTCCCACTTATATGACACGGGATACCTCTAGCATCTTCCTTTCGACTGTATGTTCAATAACGCTGCGCGACCGTTCATCCTGTTTACCCAGCGACCAGGTTTCTGACGCATATAAGGCAGGAAGTATCGTGAACTGGAAAACTTGGGCACGGCGTATGGCGTTCTTTGTTCTCTTCACTACAACCTCGACGCTGTTGATAGCTCCCCAAGCCGCTCGCTTCCGCCTGGTCGACTCTGGAGTAAGTCGTTCATCATGTTGATTTACATACCTAAATACACTTAACTGAAGCATTCGGAGATATCTATTCCGTTGACCGTGGATGACGCAGACGTAACCAATCCGTTCCTCATGAACATCGTCTTTGTGAGATTTAGTCGAAGATAAATCTTTCCGCAGGCGTTATCACAATCGGCAAGCATTCGCTCCGTCTGGATAATGCTTAGTGTTTAAAAACAGTGTTATCAGCAAAGTGAAGATAGTGTAATTGGCTACCATCAGTTTTCATTCCCATGTTGTCCCACTCCATTATTCTCATGATTCTCGAGGGTGGCGGTAAATAATTTTGACGTGATGGTATCTCCTTGCCTAACTACTCTTTTGACGTCGACCTCAATATCGTTGTGGAATGATGATATCTTCATCGTGAAATTTTTATACGGCTCACAAAGAATCCTTATATACTGAGCAGGGACTGCCTAGCTGTCTATGGCTTCCATGACTCCTCGCGACACTTGAATGAGTCTTGCTATCGTGTGGATGTGCTCCATCGTACTGAATCCTTTTTGAAACCCTGCTTGCCAACATGGCTGCCCTTTGTCCAGTGTTATGTAAATCCTGTTTAGGATGACTCGAGTGAAAAGCTTGTAGACGACAAACAGAAAGCTGATTGGGGAGTAGTTGCCGACATCGTCGAAGAGCTGAGCCAGTGTGTTTATGAGGACTCGGGGAAGGTTCTTCAGATGTTCAGATCTTATCCTGTCCTGAGCAGGTGCTGTTCGATTTTTCACCGACGAAATAACATGTCGGATTTTGGAAGGGAGAACCAACGATGCGACATATCCGGCCTCCTTTACTTCACATGAGGGCAAGAGGATGTGACTATTCAAGAGATCCGGTTAGTACTCTTGAATGATCTCGATTGCATTTCTGGAAGCTGTGGTTGTTCCATCTGGGCGTCGGAGTGCAATTATCTTGGTCTTGTAATTGGCGAAGCATTTGTGGGCTTTGTGAATGCTCTTTCCAGCCTCTGCAGCTTCGACCATTACTACTGCTCTTCTCTCTTTAAGATCTTCCTTTATCTCCTGTCTGCATTGTTTTGCAAGTTCGGATGTTAGTTCGCGGTTGCCTGCAGCTCGTGCGATTCTATGCTGGCGTATGCGTCAGCTCCAATGCTTCTGAAGACGGCCATCTCCTAGTGACTTTTAAATTCTCAGCAATCATAGCGCTAACATGAAGATGTTCAATGAGACGATCGTATTCCTCATCGACGTTATCGACAACGGCATCTTCCCAACGGCCGACTAATGAACTGAATAAATTCCAGTTTATGGTGATTTGGGGGACTTCGTTTTTGAATTGAGCGGCTTTTCCTCATTTCCGCGAGGAATAAAATCTTGCGCAAAGGAGGCGACGATCTGTTCCCGTGTAGAATTTTGGGGCAAAAGCGATGTCGGTTATGCAATACCTTCGATTTGATGTAATATGGTCTACTTCGTTATGGTACTGTCCATTGGGGCACTCCTACGTCCAGCTTTAAGGGTGGGGCTTCTACCATTGCGGGATACGATGGACTGCTTTAATCGTCATGACAAACGAACAGCCGCTCACCCTGCTCATTCTGTTGTAATCCGTGGCCCCAATGTGATGTTCTTCAGACGTCCTTCTGGGTTCGATCTTAGCGTCAAAATCTCAAACGATGACTGTAAAGAACTTTCCTTGTGAAACGTTCTCTATCTATCTGAACGGCTAGGCGTTTCATGTCGACCGGATGGCTGACGCGGAGCCTCTGTTCCAGATTACGATGTGACCTACCAGGTCAGTTATGCTCATTGTTTCAGGCAGTTGACTTAGGCCGCACGGCAACGGTTATTCATGGGTGGAAACGTAGCAGTGGAACAGTTGCTTTGTGAAACAACGATACCAATAAGGCTTAGTGTTTCAGGCAATTAGCCGTACATTCTATTCCAGCGCAAGATTATCGATCCAGATCGGTTGCAGGTGCAGACGTACCGCGGCTCCACCGACCACCCTCCCCCTCTCCCACCTCAACCCTCCACCCTCACCTCTGCCCATATGCCGTCGTGTCAAATAGGCATTGCATCATCGTCTTGATTCCCGTGCGATCTCGTAAACCATCGTCCTGCTTTTCTTGGTTCATAGTGTTTTCATAGTTGCATTAATGAGAATATCTTTGTTATTTTATTCAAATCCATCGTAGACAGCTGTATGACAGTCCTCACTGTCATTACATTACACTTCGTTTCAGCTCGGTTCGTTCACCTCATGCCAAGTTCATCGCTTCTTAGTTTGTCTGCGGTGCGTTGTCAGTAGCGGCGGGTATCCTCAAATGCGCTCTGTTTGCAACGCCATCGGTGTCATGTCAACCATTCCTCCCCAGTACGCCTTTCGTGCATGGCCACTAGGCGGCTTACTTATGCTGTGTTGCTTTAATGCTGCTACTCGGCTTATCAGTTCTCAGTCGCTCTATTTCTGGCCCAAGTTATCTTGTAGGTCAGTACTCGCACCCATCGATGCAAACGTCATGCTGCAGACAGCGTTATCCAACACCAGCCGCCTGACTGTGTACCGCAGATGACTCATTAATCGCAGTCCGTGGCGCCATAAGCGCTCATGTAACATATTACCCACATCGATCATGCTAAAGTACACCACACCGCTCCACATATGACCCCTTGCTCACCCGAAAACACGGCTGGTCTGCATCCTTCTGCTCATAGCACGCTACCTCTCTCAGCTTCCGCACCTGCCGTTGACGGTGCAACCGTGGCATCGCCCATGGACAACTAGTCGTTATTTTTATACCGTTGATTGATATCATCGTTGTACTAATGTTGTATTTATAGTCAAATACCGTTGTTTTGTTATGTGCCTCATTTTAACAGTGGCTATGGCACCTATTTGCGATATTTTGTCATGATATTTCATTGTCGATGTTACTGTGTTAATAATGTTGTTTTTACGTATGTGGAGGCTTAATTACTCAAGTTTTAGGTTGGCTAATGGCAGCAATCAAAAGACCCAAGCAGCAAACTTGTCACACACTCACAAGGCGAGGCTACCCTAAATCATCTCACAACATATTCTTCCTCACATAGCACATTGACCGAGAATCGAACCAAAGTCGGCCGTGTGGCAGGCGAGTATCCTACCAATGAAGCACCAGTGCCTCTTGATCCTTCTTTGACGACGTAGGAAAGAGGAATTCATGCGAATGATTTGTTACGTAAAATCTATAGACATTATTACCTCAAGCTTGGCTGGTAGGTAAGCCAAGTTTGAGCCTGAACAAGATTTGTTCTTGCGGACGGAGGAATTTAGTATTTTTCAAGAATGGAGGAGGTGCTTTCACCCAACGTAGAAAACGTTCGTTATCGATGTGGCGTTGCAGGATGTCAGTCGACTGGAGAGTATTTCATAAACGAGGAAATTTTCAAACATCTGGCATCACATTACGCCAATTACGTAAGATCAAACAATCATTACAAGTATCGGTGTAAGCAATGCGGTGCGTATGCTTACTTTTCGATGACAGCCGTATTGTATTCTTGCAAACAGTAAACTGCCACCAAAAGTGAGTGAACCACAATCAGAAACGATTGGTTTGGTTCTGATTTATTTACACCGTTTTGAGGTTGTCATTATCACAGTTAATTAAAAGAGCCGCGTTTTAACCTCGTCACGCACTCTCAAGACGAGCCTACGTTAAGTCATCGCATATCCTATTCTTCTGTATATGGTGCATTGGCCGGCAATCGAAGCTGGGCCGACCGCGTAGCCGGCGAACATTCTACTACTGAACCATCAATGCTTTTTGATGCCTCTCTGATGACGTAGGAAGCAGAAATTCTTGCGAATGACTTGCCACTTAAGATCTACATATATTAGATCTACATATATTATTTCCTCAGACTTGGTTGGTAAATCAACCAAGTTTGAGCCTGAACAAAAATTGTTCCTGAGGACGGAGGAATTTGATGTGCTTCAAGAATGGAGGGGGCAATTGCACCCAAACTACAAACTTTCGTTATCGATGTGGAGTAGCAGGATACCACTCGGCTGGAGTGTATTTCATCTACGGGCAAATTTTCGAACATATTGCATCGCACTACGCTAACTACACAGGGTTAAACGATTATTCCAACTAACCGTGCAAGAAATATGGTGCGCATGTCTACCTGTAGATAACGACCATTTCGTGTTCTTGCCAGTAATATCCTGTGGCCAAGAGTGAGTAGACTACAATCAGAAGCGGTTAGTTTAGTTTA